CCAGTCCCCCGGGCGTGCTGCCGGCTTCCCCGAGGCTTTGCTCTGCGTCTTCCTGGTCTGCAGACCAGGGAGACGCAGAGAAAGCCCCGGAGTACACGGGCGGCAGGACCGCGAGGTCCCGCAGTCCGTGTCCTCCGGGGCGAGCCCCGTTCGTAACTGCGGATCCGACATAAGTCAGATCCGCGTAAGTCGGGGACTGCCTGTACAGAAAAACCTGTGTTATCTGGTACGCTCGGGGATTAGGGCATTCTGGTTATCTAAAAATTCCAGTTATCTGAGGGTCCCATCAACCTAGAAAAAAACAATGGGACAATAATAGTAAAACTCAAGTTTTTAATATTGATAGTTTTGTAGTGTGAGGCAGATGGTCTCACATTTCTATTTTGAGTTAAAGATTATTAGCACTTCTTAAATAAAAAATTGTGAAGCCAATCATGGTAAACCAGGCCAGGCCGGTATGCCTGAAGATGTGACAGTATTGTGGCTGGGAGCAATGCTGGTTAACAAAGTTTTCTAGTTAACAGAGTGCAAGATAACAAAGGTTTCACTGTTTTAGAGAAAATCCAATTCTATTCCCTGAAGAAAATAATAATAAAAAAATAGTAAAAATTAATGATTAAGGCAAATGGCGCTCTTCTCTCCTGCATGGCCGATAGCAGTGGTAGGTGCTAGTGAAATCTTTAAAAAATAAACAAAGCTCTGTGCTTATTAGGAATCCTCTGCTGTTTTTCTTACAAGCAGTTCTTCACTCTTAAAATGATCAATTAAGGACAGCTAGAAAATACATTAGACAAGTACAGTCTTATCCAGAGATTCTGGACAGTTTCTGCACAATGTCACATCAGCTGAGAGGTTTGCCCTATTTCTCAGGGCCTTATCGGTCACATCTGAAATCAGCATCTGAAAAACAGATTCAGTCTCCTTCACAAATCTAAGGAAAATAGAAAATCTTTCGTCTGAAGTGGGTTGTGTGCAAGAAAGCTCGTGATACCATCTACACGTTTTGTGAAATCTTTAAGGCGCTGCAAGACTATTCTTTGTTTTGAAAAATCTATGTGTGAAAACGTAAATAAAAGCGTTTCAATAAATTGACTTTTATTTACAATAAATAGGAAGTGCAACTGAACAAAAGATACTTTTAAGTCCGTGAAAGGAAAACATTCCAGTGACCTCGCCCCTTCCTATGGATCCCATCCTTTCCCCCCTGGCTGCTGAGGCAGTTTAAGACCCACAAGGCCAGCAACTTCCTCAGTTGAGCGCTCTCCTTTGGCGTGGTACTCCTGGTGCAGCGCTAGGTGTTGGCGGACGCTGCGCAGAAGGCAGAGGTAAGTAGCAGCCTGGAAATGCAGCTCATGCTGGGCCCGGCAGAGTTTCTCGCTGGTGACCTGCAGACAGGAGAGGAGAAAGCCAAAGAGCAGCCTCAGCACGTGTACGGCGGGCGAGCTGCAGGCCCCCGCTGCTGAAGCCCCGCCGTGACCTTTCTACCGCCGCCCCCCAGGGAAGGGAATGACAGAAGCCAGCCCTGGGGCCGCAGGCGCTGGCCGCGCAAACCAGGCTCTTTTGGCGCCTGCAGTGGCGGGACACCTGGCTCAGCCCGTCCCGGCACCAGGGCCTGAGCGCTGCCCGGCCTGCCGCGCGCTGGAGCCCCTCAGGCGAGGACGCGACGCCCCTTCCCGGCGCTAGCTGCAGGGGGCGGCAGAGAGCGCCCCCGGCTCGCGGTTCCTGGGGGCGGGGACCGACGGGCTTGGCGAGGCGGGCGGGAGGCTCCGCCAGCGGCGTCCCGCCCCGCACCTGGTTGGCGCGAAAGGCCTCCGTGAGGTGCCGATAAGCCGCCGTGTCCCGGTAGGGGCGGCCCGCCTGGGCGCTGACGTAGCGGAGCTCTCGAAACAGGCTCCGTAACGTGCGGAGCGGCGAGCCCAGAGCCGCCATCTTGCCCATCCGCGCCCGTCTCTGCGCGCCCGCAGCCAATGGGGTGCAGGCGCCTGTCCTGCCAGCCAATGGGAAGCGAACACCTGGAGGAGACTAGACGCCGCCCTGGGTCGGCGGGCAGCAAGGCGCAGCACGAGCCAGCGAGTCGCCCTCGGGATAGGCGCCGCCAGGGTGCGCTATGGAGGGCCGAGTCGCCAAGGCGCTGGCAGGACGGGCAGTCGAGCGCCGAGGCAGAGTTGCCATTGGAAGAGCTGCAGGGGGTGGGGGTCACTGCCCGGCAGGGCCTGTGACCAGTGGCCAGACAGCCCCGCATCCCAGCGCTGGGTCCCAGGCACCGCACCAGCCTCCTGAGTTACCTGCCTGGGCCTTGTGCGCTCATGGTGCCCCGAGGGCTCGCGCTGCGCTTCTTTAGTGTGTGACAGTGGCCGAGCGGTCACACTAAAGCTACACAACCCCAGCCCCGCCCGTCATGGTTCCCCCCTACTGAGAGAAACGGTTCTAGCAGGTTGGGGAGTGACTAGGAACATTTACTGGTTGGGCTTCTCTACTCATGCTGGGCAAGAGCCCAGGGATTTGTTAATCCCGGCAAAAAAGAATTGACTCGTTTTTATGTGTTTTATGTCAGCTTCTTCTCACCTGAGCTATTTTGGAACCTCTTCTGCTGTATTTTGAGTGCCTGGTGTCATAAGACTGATGAGCAGCATTTAGGGTTACCAGATGATATCAAAAGTATATGGGACACACTTGATCTCAGATGGGTGGGGGGACCAGCTGGCTGGGAAGAGATGGGGGAGCAGAGCTGGCCAGGGGAGATCGGGGTGGGGGTGTGTGTGTGTGTGTGTGTGTGTGGGGTGAGGAGGGGGTGTGTGTGTGTGTGTGTGTGTGTGTGTGTGTGTGTGTGTGAGTGGGTGTGTGTGTGTGGGGGGCGGTGTGTGGGGTTTGTGTGTGTGTGTATGTGTGAGAGTTGGGGTGTGTGTGTGTGTGTGTCCGTCCTGCGCTCGGTCCCAGCGGGGCACATGGGCAAGTCTGGCCCCAGGGATTCCATCCCATCCTGGGCCTGCCCCCCTCCTCTCTACTGTGTAGTTGCTACTGCCTGGCTGATAGACATGATACTCATGATAATAATAAAACTTAATTAGAAAATACAAATGTCCAGTATTTTCTCAATTTGTTTCCCGGACAGAAAGGTCAAGTACCGGACTGTCCAGTTTGAAACCGGACACCTGGCAACCCTAGCAGCATTTCAATAATAAATCAGTGTTTGTACTCTTAGTAGCTTGTGGGCAGAACTGTAGCAACACACTGATGTGCACAGCTTAGTGCAAACACAAGCTAGTGTTACCAACTTGTATTTATCTTGAATTTTGCAATATTTATTTTTGTAGGAGTTCAACAACTGGAGTCAAATGATTACATGAGCCTTTCAACTTTAATTTAAACATTCTGTTTCTTCTGTTGTAGAGAAAAAACCTCCAAAACATAAAGGCTACGTCTAGACTGGCATGATTTTCGGCAAATGCTTTTAACTGAAAAGTTTTCTGTTAAAAGCATTTGTGGGAAAGAGCATCTAGATTGGCATGGACGCTTTTCCGCAAAAGCACTTTTTGCGGAAAAGTGTCCGTGCCAATCTAGACGCGCTTTTCTGCAAAAAAAAGCCCCGATCACCATTTTTTGATCAGGGCTTTTTTGCACAAAACATATCTGAGCTGTCTACACTGGCCCTTTTGCGCAAAAGCTTTGCGCAAAAGTTCGTGCGGAAATTCAAGTGGCTGGTGTAGACAGCTGGCAAGTTTTTCCGCAAAAGCAGCTGATTTTGCAGAAAAACTTGCCAGTCTAGACATAGCCAGACACTAAAAGCTAGGGGGAAAAAACCCATCACCAACCCTTCTCCAAGCAACTTCAATCTCTCCCCAAAACAAACACACACCTGTCTTCATCATCTAGTACACAGAGCATTCATTTTCTGCCATTTCATTCATGTGCTCATTTGTTGCTTCTGAGTGTCATGTCAATGGAGTGGCCTTTTTTTTTCAATTTTTCTGTGTAACATTTCTCTAAGTGCCCTGTTAATTTGCTCACTTACCATGGAAGTTGTGTTGCTGTCATTCTCAACATATCCAAAATATGTCCAGTATTGTCTTTGTGTGATAGTTAGATTGGTTTGTTTTACTTAAAAGTTTCTTATGCTGCAAGCAACTCTTTCTAGTGGACTCTGAAGATCTTCCACAGGTATTTATTATGAGTTGATTTTCTTACAATTTCTGCGAAAGATTGATGTTGTCATTAATAATAGCAACATATTATTGTGTGTGGACCAATTATGTTACTTTTTTCAAATCCTGTAACAGCTTTGGTAATATTTGATGTGTGACAAATGGCCTGGTGCTGCCATCATTACACATCTAATTCCTTAATCACATACAATGACTTACTTCTAGTGTTTCTTCATCCAGTCTAATAGTTGCTTTGGGGATATTGGTAGCCATGTATTTTAGCTTCCGTTTGTTAATGAACTAATCAATTTGTTTTGTTGTATCAGACAAAAGCGATGTGGTGGAGGGGCTCACAACGACACTATTTTATTGAACCTGATCTCAGTACAATATTATCAACCCAAACACTCAAAAATCACTTTACGAAATCTGGGGTTATTTTTATTTGCTTTCTGGTGTGGGGGTAAATAAAAAGAACCTATAGTTATTAAAGTCTCATAATTTTGAAGCCAAACTCATGATACTTAAATGCTTGGAGCTGATACAACTGCTGGACAGGTTCAGTAAGAGTCTGGTTCCTTCCCCCAGAGTGTGGTAGGCAGCCTACACAACTTTCGCTAGGAGCTGAGATGTTTATGCTTTCAGTCAGCTCCTTTCAGTGTTTAGTTATGCAGAGGACTATATTAGGCACTAGTCATCGCTAGTGACTTCACTCGCCCTCTAGCTGAAAGCAGAGCATACAAAGGCTTGTCCTTGGAAACATCTAACTTCAGGCCAATTTTTGAACGGATAAAGAGT